ATGTCTCTGATCATACCCACCACTGATGGTAAGCCCAGCACTGTTGCCTTTGGTTTTTGATGGTGGCTTTGTCTTTACTTCCTCTTTTCAGTTCTGTTGAACTCAGGCCCTTATGTCTCACATGACCAACCCTTTCTCCTCCCCTAGCCTAAGCCTTCCAATAGTCCTGATTCAGCCCTGGCCTCTATTCCATTGCCAGAGGTATTGGGAATGGAAAAAAAGAGAGAATTTGGAATTCCAGGATGCCTAGTGGATACCCCTTTTATCTGCTTCGATTGCATCCTACTGCTTCTGCACAGGTTCACTTGTGGCTGCAGAGCTCTCACCTACTAACAGCACTGCGCTCCTCATTCTGGCACCTTAAAAAACGTTTCCATATGGGACATTAACTCTCTTCCATTTTCTCTCTTTTTCCTGTATGGTTTCCATTTTCAAATAGCACTCCTGTTGTCTCCAGGTAAGAGGTTTGTTTTTCTTCTTTTTTCTTCCTGTCAGTTGTCAGATGGTTTCTGCTCTTTGCCCCTTTTTAAGGGACACTTGTGTCATAGCAGGGACTAAGGTTTGGCAGTCAACTTGGGGATGTCAAGGATATTTAACCCTGGCAAGTTCTTCAAAGGCTTGAGGCCTCGTTTCACTAATTTTACACAGTTTTGAATCAGAAGTAGTATTCTTAGCATCATTTTTTACATGGACTTATAGGGGAAGGGGGCAGGAACATCGCTACTGTTTCCAAATATCTGAAGGGCTTTTCATATGAAAGATGGATTAGCTGTATTCTGTATGCATCCAGATGGGAAAAGTGGGACCAGTGGTTGGATGTTAGAAGAAGGTGGATTTAGCTCAAGATAAGAATTTACTGACAGAGATATCCAAAAATGAAATGACCAGCCTTATGAGGGAAGAAATTTCTCTTCATTGAAAGTGTTTAAGCAGAGTTTGGATAACCACTTGTCAGGAACATTGCAGAAAGGATTCATGAATAAAGAAGGGGTTGGCTTTTATAACATCTAAGATCCCTTTCATATGTAAAATTCTTTGGGCCTATTATTTAGCTGGTACCTTCTGACTCTTAGATGGGAAATGGAACATATGAACAAGACTCCTCCCTAGTCCTAATTCATCCGATATCTCAATTAGGTAATGGGAGAACGAGAGATTGAGCTGTATAGCCCCTGAAAACAGGCTTTTGAAGATGAATTTTGAGGATATATTTTTGTTTCAAAAGCTATAGGGGCTTTGGTGGAGGGGACCCCAAACTGTCAGCCAGAGTTAGAAAAGTCAGTTATGTAATAATTTGGGAACTTTATTGATTTTTGAAATTTTCTATCTCATTAATTCAATTCAATTCAGCAAACAATTATTAAGCACCCACTATGTACAAGACCCTTTGCTTGGTGCTGAGACCCAAGCTGCTAGAATGCTTGAAAATGTCATCATTGACCTTCATACCCACTTATACCAAGAAATATGTAAGTAAACTCAAAGAAATATTTGAAGCTTTTCTCCTGGCTCGAAATAGAAATGTTGGAATGCCCTAATGAAAGGAGTCAAATTAATTTAAAAGAGATTCTGAAATAAATTTTAGGCTTACAGTGAGATTCGTTCCTGAGTCTGGGGTATGCTTCTGTGAGTGGGATCCAACTATGAAGTATTAGTTAGACTCAAGGCAAAAAGTTAGCATTGCCTTTCCCCTGGGTATTAGAGAGGAGCTGCAGCTAATAGCTTAGTGCAGAAAGGGTCAAGGCAAGAGGAAATGTAGTTTTGTAGGAAGATGTTTTATTACCTTTTAAGAAAATGTCATATATATCGTTTTAGACCTTTCAGTGAAGAACCATCTGAAGTTGTGTGAGGTACAAAGGTCTTCTTGCTAGCACGTGCTACATTATTTTTCAGTAGCTGAAGCCACCCTTCAAACTTAATGCTGGGTTGTCAATATAGATCACACATTTATTTTAGTGAGTTCCTTTTTTAATGGTGTGGATAAATCCATCTGTATTTCTTTGAAAAGAAGGGAGGAAAAGAGGTAGAAAAGGAAAAGAGAAGAGAAAAAAAGGCAAGATGACAAGAAAAGGGAAGAAATAAATTTGGTTACAGAAGCTTTATCTTTACTTGTCCTACTTTTCCCTTCTCTCTGATAATTTTCATGGTTTAATTCTGTCACATGGAGTTCTACCAAAATCTTCAAACATTTTCACTAATTAAAATTATTTTTTTTCAGGATTTCAGATTAGAGGAAAAGGCTTTTTCTCCAAAACTTATTAACTTCCTACTCTAACCCCACCCTCCATGGATGTCAATTTTCATCTGCCTATAAGCTCAAATTATACGCAAGAATGCATCTTTATGGGCTTCTGAATTTGGGAATCTATCATTTGGGAGCATGACTTAAGTCCATTGGGTAGTCTCAAGCTTTTTTTTTTTTTTTATAACTATTTTTATAGGGTGGGCAACCTCTGCCGGTGGGGTAATGGAAATTAAACCTTTCTATGCCTTTACTGTCTAATCAAGCCCAGGGATGTCTTCTGAAATCCAGGGATACTCTGTAGTTACTTTTCCCATGTGAAAGGGTTTTTGAGTCATCACCCATAACTTCATCTGCTTTAAGTTTGACGAACTGTTCTCTCTTCATATGCTTTTCAAGCCTCTATTTTATCTTCCCTTCCTCCTCTGAAACTCTCCTTCCTAGTCTTCAAATTTTAATACATTTTGCTCATACACCAAGCAGACTGTCCAGGTCATCAGTAATCCCTACTTTCCCTTGAATCATGGAGGATTCCAGTCACATCATAGTGCATAATAGTGACCAGAATAATTGTTTTCTGGCTCAGCTTTCTCTCAAGAAATCCTAGTTGGGGTTTGAATTCAGTGGAAGGAACAAAAATCTACAGTATCCATACTGAAGATGAAACTGAGGCTCAGCATCTGTAGTGCTTTGGAGACATGTAGATCAGCAAATAATTATGGAAGATTTAATATTATAAAACTCTTTACTAGATGCTATAGTATATACAAGGTACAGGGTCCTAGACAGAGATTCAGAAACAGATACAGAAATTTATATAGAAAGCTGTATAATAAACCTGATTGCCATCACAGAGAAGTGGATAGGTCAATAGGTAAATCAATATTCTACCTAATAGATATAGTACTAGATTGGCAGATAGACAAAGACTTACATAGGGACACTGACATGTCACTAGGGAACTCATTATGTTGGCATAAGGAGCTGTGTGGCCCATGTACAGATATGACCTAGGGGAAAATAGCACATCTCTGCCAGACAGAGTATAACACTTCTTTTGTGAGACAGTGACATCCAATAAAACACACACACGCACACACACACACACACACACACACACACAGAATCCATGCTCTGATTTCTGAGGAATCTGATGGAGTGGCCCTAGGAGCCTAAGGGGACTCTTCAATCACTCCCTAAAGGGGAGGCAGGTCACTATTGTGTGTCCAAAGGACTGTCTTCCAGGTTTATTTACACTTTAGGCATAGCCTATTGTTGTCTAAAGGAATTAGCTGTTGAGATGCTCAGATGATGGGGCCAGAGGAAATAAAAACATTTGAATGTTGTCAATTCACCTGGAAATTCAAGAAGACAATTTCCCATAAAAGAGTCCTAACCTTTTTTTGGGAATAATCAAAGTCTGGCTGCATTTTAAACCTAGTAGGGAAAGACAGCACCATGGACAGTTCTGAGGCTGCTTGGTATTAATGCTCCAACCTCCCTATTAAAGTTTTTTAAAAATTAATTCTTCAGATTTCCCATTAGCTATTGCCGTCCTTGATGCTGGGGAAATCCCTCAGTGGATCACTCATTTTTGATCCTTTTAATGGATCCCCACACCAACATGAGCTGACGTTAGTTTTTTTCCCCCTCTCACACCAATTCATCAAGCTATAACGAAAGGAAAGGCCTCATGGCATCTCTGTACCTTGAGACTATTCAAACACAGGAATCCCCAAGGAAACTCAGCATGTGGTGTGGAAGTAATTAAGGTACCAAATGAAAGAATTAATTGTATGAGCACATGCGGAACTAGATGTGTCTAAGTCAAACTAAGCTCTGGAAAGAATAAACTGCCAAACACTTCTTATTCTTTAAGACAGAAAATATATCTGTCTGCATATTGAAGCTGCCTTAAAAGGGACTTGCCAGCATAATTGGGAAGAGCCTCTGACTGTTGCAACCCAGAACAGTCTCTACTGGCCACAGAGTCAGGATGCTAGACTTCCCAGGGGGAGCTCTGGGAGGAAGCAAAGAGACTGATTGGAGTTGAAGAATCAGAATTGTTTTGAGAAAATTTTGCCTAGCTCCCATGGAGTTAGTTTGAGGCATCACTAGATGAAAGCTCATGAAGCTTTTGGGAAATGTTCCAGATTCCTTATTGTGAGAATGGCATGCTCTTTAAATGCCGATATTCCTGGAAGCTGCCTCCTTCTCTTTATTGGCACCATCCTAGTTCTGAAGCGCTATAAACAGCTGTTTATGCAATATGGCAGGCATTTCTACTGGGTCCAATGTTCTTTACTTTCCACCCAGGACTATGTCATGAAGTTATTGTTCAGCCATTCAACAGTTGCACTTTTCCATATGAAAGATGACGGAATATGCATGTCAGTGGAGGGGAAGCTAGAGGCATCCTTATCTAAAAAAACAGGAGCCAGAATGACTTGGAGATAGATGTTGGGCAAGGATTTGGGATTTATGTCTGATCCTGTCAGTAACTTATTGAGTGACTTGGGGATGTGATTCAATTCCTTGAGGAATTTCCCATATGCAAAATAAGACAGTAATCATTCTGTGGAAATTAATAGGATATCTATAAAGGACCAGGATCTTCTTGCTAAAAGTGCTAAGTAATAAAGGTGTTAATATGCATAAGAAATGTATGTTCTTTCTCTGCTCCTTTTACCCAAAGCACTGAATTGTAGGCTTCTGGGGAAAGTGTCCTGAAGCTTGGTTTTATTTTGTTTTGTTGCAGATGTGACCGACAGGAAGCTATCCATGGAGGAGGAGGAGGCCAAGAGGATAGCAGAGATGGGAAAGCCAGTGTTGGGCGAGCACCCCAAATTAGAAGTAATCATTGAAGAGTCCTATGAATTCAAGGTCAGGACATCCATAAGATTGAATTGAAAGAGTGCTGGTATGGGAGGCAAGAGATTTGGGGTTTAGGTCCAGTTCCACCATCAAATGGCTGTGTAAGAGGGGAAAAGAATTAAAATTGTGCTGTGTCTCAACTTTCTAGTCTGGGAAATGGATATAACACTGCCACAAGGGGGAAGTTATGAGGACAAATTAAAGAAATTAGGAGGGATTATAAAAATGCTACTTATTTAACATTTGTATCCACTGGCAGGTCTCCTAACCTCTCAAGGCCTCAGTTTCTTTTTCTTCATACTGAAGAAGGTGATCATTGTGGTCCCTTTCATAGCTAAATCCTGTGATGCTAAAATCCTATGACCAGATGATCTCTAAAGTACCTTTAAGTTCTAAATCATATTTCATCATAATCATTATTACAATTTCATTGTTAAAGCTCAGGTGGTATAAACTTATTGCAATAGCACAGGTCCTATTAGAAATGGTTATTGTGACTATTATTTCTGGGGAAATGTGAGGAAAGAAAAAAAAGGAGAGAAGGGTCCTTTGATACTTTTCAGTCCTCAGCCTACACAAATCCATTCATAATTTCCCCAGCCTCCAGCAATGAAGCACTCTCTCATCTTGCTCCCCTTGCCCCCTGTCACCATTCCAAATAACATAGAATTCCTCAGTGGGCCCTGAGAATTCTGACCTCACGGCTTCAGGTTTCTATTTCTTTGACAGAGTACAGTAGACAAATTAATCAAGAAGACAAACCTGGCCCTGGTTGTGGGGACACATTCCTGGCGTGATCAGTTCATGGAGGCCATCACTGTCAGTGCAGGTGAGAAGCATTAGAGTTATGGATGCCAAGGAGGTTGGGCAATACTGGTGAGAAGGGGTAGCCAGTGGGGGAAAGAAGAAACATTGGTCCATGGCTTAGGAGAAGATGGAAATTCCTATTTCTGAGGATACCCATATGCCAGGATTCATTATCCTACTCCCAATTGTGCAGGTGAATGGTAACACCCCTCTCTGTATATTAGTTTCCCCTTTCTGCAAAAAGAGAGGCAACACATTCTTTGCCTATTTACTTCTGAACTTTGAGAATTAATAAAATTGTGGAGGTGTCTTTTAAAAGAATTTCATTTATATCTTTTGTTTTCATATCACCTTCATTTCTGAATATATCTCTTCCCCCTCTCCTACCCAGCAAACCATCCTTTGTAATAAAAAATAAAAAAGGAGAAGAAAAGCAATTCAGCAAAACAAACCAACATATCAACCAATTTTGACAGCATGTACAGTGATAGAATTCTCTACCTGTGTATTTCTTCAACTCCTTTCCGAGGTCAAGCTTCATTATAAGGTGGTTTTAGCTCCTTAAGAAGACATTCTCCTGTCAAAACTGGAAGCTGGATATTTCACTTTTTTTACTGTTGGCCTGAGATCAAAGGACTATCTTTAGTGATGTCCCATGGCATTGCTGTAGACCACAACTCATAAATACTGCCATGAGGTAGAAAACCACAGCGCTAGTGTGCGCTCTCTCTCTCTCTCTCTCCCTCTCTCCCTCTCTCCCTCTCCTTATCCCTTACGATATCAGCAAAGCACAAGTATGTTCGTCTCTCAGCAAATGGTGAACAGAGAGTTGCTGACTAGCCATGGCTGCTTTCAGAACTCTTCATTGCCATAGCAACCCACAAGGTCATATCCCACAGGTCCCAGTGTCAGAGTAAAGTTATAGCCCCGGAGAGAAGACTTGGTGCTGACCCACTTTCCAGCATCAATGGCTAAGGATCCATCCTCTCCTTCTGTTACCCTCTGATCACTGCTTTGGTCCCTTGATAAAAAGAGGCCAAAGGGGAAGGAAAATAGAGGAGTAATGCATTTTCTGGTGTTTAAGGGAACTCTTGAAAAAAATTCAGCATTGAATTACAGACTATTAGAGCTGGGGGGAACCTTGAAGGTCTATTCCAATCCCTTCATCTTACAAATAAGGAAACTGAGGTCCAGAAAGATGATATGATTTTCTAAAACTCACAGAATGCAGAAAAAAATGGACTCCATGCTTTCTGACACTGAACTTGGTGATTTTCTTGCCATAAAACACTGCCTATTATGAAGCCCAGACTACTCCAAGCACGCTATGCCATCACAGGGTGAATGTGCCAACTGTATGTAGGTAGAGTCTTTTCCTAGTAGACAATCTTGGCTTATTCAAATTAGGATCCACCTGCCTTGTCTTTAGGTTTTGGGGACATCTTGACAGAGAGGGTAAGTGTAGTCAGTAGAATATCTGGGATTTCAACCCAGGTCCTCTGACTCCAAATCCAGGATACCTCCATTAGTAAAATGAGGCAATTGCACTAGATGACACATCCTTTCCAGTTCTAAATCTATGATCCTATGAACTCTTCCTCCTCCTTTTAAAACAGCAATGGTTATTCCCTCCGAAGTTTGATGCCTCTGTTTTCCCTGACAGTGAGAAGTGCTATTGGCTTTCTTTTTTGCCCATCTATCCTGGTCCATGAAAGATCATCTGCTTTCTTTCTTTCTCCTTCCTGGAGGACCCACGTTGATGTGATGAAAGCTGCCAAAGCTTTTCCCATCATCTCTGCATTTTATTGATACTACTATGACATCCTCAAAAAGTAGAAAAAAATTGGGGGGGGGAAGCACTGATTAGATACAGTTTCTAAGTGTCTAAAATTGTCCTTTCTGGTTATCTGTTAATATCTCATAAGCACAGATGACCAATTCCTGGGTTTTATGATCAGTTTGGTATCATGTGTTTCATTACAGTAGAGAAGTAAATGCAGTTCCTCCTACACCACTTCATCTCAGCCTCTGACCTAAATTCTGTTTGAGATTGGCCAAGAGATAGCAATATCAGTCTGTTGTGGTATAGCCTATTTAAAGGAGCAGTTTCTTGGGTCTGCAGGACTCTCTTCCTGCTCCCTTTGGGAAAAGGTCTAAATGCCAACATGTGCTCACACATGCTCACATGCACATGCATGCATACACACATGCACACAGAGGAATATAAATTCTCTGCTAGTTAGCTGGATTTAGAAGGAATAAGGAGTGGAAAATATGATCTTCTGTACACTTTACCTGCTCCCATTTTTCTTGATTCCAGCAGGAGATGAGGATGAGGATGAATCAGGTGAGGAGAGGCTGCCTTCCTGCTTTGACTATGTCATGCACTTCCTCACCGTCTTCTGGAAGGTGCTATTTGCCTGTGTGCCCCCCACAGAGTACTGCCATGGCTGGGCCTGCTTTGTGGTTTCAATCCTCATCATTGGTATGCTCACCGCCATCATTGGTGACCTGGCTTCCCACTTTGGCTGCACCATTGGCCTCAAGGACTCCGTCACAGCCGTTGTTTTTGTGGCCTTTGGCACCTCCGTCCCAGGTGAGAGTATGGGAAGAGGATGCTGAGAAGATGGGGTTGGTGGGGAGAAAATGCTATGTGACTCATGTATGATGCTATACTTATCCCTGCTCCTCAGCAAAAACAGTCATTTTAGGGCTTGGGCCAGTGGTTCTCAACAGTTTCTCTTAGGCTTATTAGCCAACAATCTTGCACAATGCTTTACGGTGAGGAAATGGGAACTTTACGCATACCATGCCCCGTTCCCTCAGAATCCTGCCTAAAATGGCCCAAACTCAGGATATCCTTAAATATGAAGAGGTTGATCCCTTGAAGGCCCTTTAGGACTTAAAGCCAGAAAACCTCTTGGATGACTTTCATCAAGTCATTCAACTCCCTCTAAGCCTCAGTTTGCTCATTTGTAAAATGGGGCTAATTCTACTTACATCACAGTGATTGTGTGAGGATCCAACAACATAATGCATACAAAGTGCTTTCTGAATACAAAATTTTATTGTTATCAGCCCCATCCTTTTGCTGCACTACAAAAATTAATTACAGGGTATAGGGAGGAAGGAAATAAGCATTTATTAAGCACCTACTGTATGCCAGGAACTTTACAAATATTATCTCATTTGATCCTCACAACAACTCTAGGAGGTAGATACTGTCATCATCCTAATTTTACAATTACTGAGGGACAAGGAATATAAGACACTTGGCCAGGATCACACAGCTTCTAAGGCCGATTTTGAACTTGGGTCTTCTTGACTCTAGGCCTGGAGCTCTATCCTCTTTGCCACCTAGCTGCTTGTAAAACATGACACCTATTCTCAAAGAGCATATGCAGTCAAGCGTTATAGACTCCTTCTTGTCTCTCAGTGATCCCAAATAACTCAACCTGGTCTAGTTTAGACCATCCCATGGAGCCGACCGCACCTTAGGACTCAACCTCTAATCATCTACCTTTGTTAGCTCCCTGACACCTAGAGTTCAAGGATCACCACAGAGCAGATCCTGAAAAACAATAGGGTTTTAGAGCTAGAAGACTCAAGAGATCATCTTGTCCAATCACTGGACAGACTCCGCAGTCCTAGAATACCCCATGCTGGATAAATGTCCAAAGTGCACATCATCGGGTCAATCGCAGAATCATAGATGCCCCCTCATTTTACAGATAAACAAACTGAGGCCCAGGGAACTGAGCTGGCTTGTCAAACAAAGGTCATCCAGCTGGTTTGGGTCAAAATCAGGATCACAGGCTAAAGTAGACCAGCAAGTGTTGGAATGTAAAAATGAATTTTTAAAATGGCCCCAGGCTTTAAGTCATACATACGATCACAGATTTGAGAAATAAAGGACCTTAAATGACCTTAGAGGTAATTTAATCCAACCCTCTCATTTTCTAGATGAGGAAATTGAGGCCTAGAGATGTTAAGTGATTTGTCCAAATTCACATAGCTAATGACCATGAAAGCCAGGACTTGAACTGAGTCTCCTAATTCCTAACACATTGTTATTTTCACTACACTGCACCATACCACCTTTTGAAGTTCACCTCCAAGGGGTAGGCCATTCCTACGTATAAGACTCAGTTTTTTCCACCCCACTTATTCCACCCCATCTTTTCCCTATTCCAGACACCTTTGCCAGCAAAGCAGCCGCCATCCAGGATGTATATGCAGATGCCTCCATAGGCAATGTCACGGGTAGCAATGCGGTTAATGTCTTCCTGGGCATTGGCCTGGCCTGGTCAGTGGCTGCCATCTACTGGGCCCTGAAAGGACAGGAATTCCACGTCTCAGCGGGCACCCTGGCCTTCTCTGTCACCCTGTTCACCATCTTTGCTTTTGTCTGCATCAGCGTCCTCCTATACAGGAGACGACCCCACCTTGGTGGGGAGTTGGGTGGCCCTCGGGGCTGCAGGCTGGCCACAACTTTGCTCTTCGTGACCTTGTGGCTCCTGTACATTCTCTTTGCCACACTGGAAGCCTACTGTTACATCAAAGGGTTCTGAGCAGCTGAGGGCCGGTGGATCCAAGGAAGCTCTCAGCCTCACCACCCCCCTCCAGTGACCACCAGGATGTTTGGCTGAGGAGAGAAAGCACCAGACAGACATCCATGTCACTGGAACACCATCTTCTGCTTGAATCTCCCCCAGTCTAGGCCCTGGGACTAATGGACAACATGAAGGGGAAAGTTGTAACCAGTCAAACAGAAAGACAAAAGAAGCCACAAATTATCAAGTATTTAAATACAAGCCAACAATAGCAACAAAATCAACTTCCACCTCCTTCCTACCCACAGTCCCAGCCTTCATAGCAGAGGATCACGCCCATCTTCTTACTGCTTTTCAGCTCCATTGTATTTGGTTGTTTCACGTTCTCAGGGTTGGGATTTCTCTTGTGGGTCTCAACTGGATATCTCTCTCTCTCTCTCTCTCTCTCTCTCTCTGTCTGTCTCTCTCTCACACACACAATGTTTTCACATCTGGCTGACAGCTTTGGAGGCAAATCAGATCACAATCATTTGACTTGGCCTCTTTTTCTAATTTGTATCATTATTATTGTTATTATTATTATTATTATTTGGTGTCAGGTTTACCTCATTGTTTAGTCTTTTCCTCCTGACATCCGTGACAAAGGTGAAATGGAGCAACACTGGGCTGTTGTATAAAGAAAAGTGTGAATTTTTCAGCCACAAACAATTTCACTCTCTAAGGGACATCCATTATGATTCTGTCCCTGTTTCCTTTCTTCCCCTCAGAGTCTTTTATAGGACTGATATACTTAATGTGAAAAGATATATGTGCGTGTACGCGAACAAATACACACACAAACATATATAGCCACACTCATACATTTTTTGGGAGAAAAATCGAACATTAGAGCTTCGAAAAAGGAAAAAAAAACCTTAAAACAGAACAAAAATCTTTGTGTTTCCTGCCCCTGTTGTTGCATTTTGAATACAGCTTTTATATGTCTATCAGTTCCTTCATGACCATGGTATTTTATGAAGAACTATCTGAATGTGGATTTACTCTGGGGAAGTGATAGGAACGTAAGGCACAAGATAGAAAAGACCTGGCAGAGGAAGGTGTGATGTGTGACTTCTTGATCTTCTTTGATTTGTTTTTTGAGGTAGGATGAGAGGCATGTGAATATATCAAGATTTTCTTTAAGGCAAAACAAAAACGTATCAGCTATTTGGTGTTCTCACCATTTGGTGCTTTTGAGAAATGTTGACTTCTCCATGATCCTACCACCTAGAGTATCATTGTGCTAGAGTTCACCAAATTTCTTAAAGTCACATGAATTTGAGAGAAGCTGGGAGTAAGAAAGACTCCTTCCATCTGCTACTCTAATTTCTCTATGCCTTTGAGAGATGAACCCCGAGTTCTGTGCAGTTCTTGTAACTCACCAAGGTGGGATATGTTGGCCAGATATCTCTTAATGGGCTCTCATTTTTTCAAAATTTCATGAAGATATTTTTCCATCTGTACCTGAGTTATTTTTCTGTGATCATAATTTTCTGAGGTCCTAGTTTGGGGAATGACACTTCATGTTGTTCAGATCTTGACAAGGTTTGAGATGTCTTGTCTTTAAAAATACACACACATAATCACCATAAAACTGCCGCAATTCTTCAGGTTTCTTCATTGACATAAGTACATTTTTTAAGAGTAAAAAAGTGAAAAGAGCAAAAAGTACTCATTTAATTTTAAACCCATTTTTAAAGAAAAAAAGTGCTCATGTCATAAGGTCTATTGACAGTCACCATTGGAAATTTTGGGGTGGTTAAAAAAATAAAAGCTATACTCTATCTCTTTAAAAATACATGCCACTTATCCTTGCTTTTCTTACCTGCAAAAGGCCAGAATGCCATTTTGGGTCCTCTTCTCAATGTAATTGAGATGAAAATGTCATTTATGGTGAAGTGTGCTTCCAATGATGCTATTTGTGTCAGATTTTATTTCAAAAAGACAGGCTAGCACTGGCAGAGGAAGCTCCAGTAGGGCCAGACTAGAACTGAAGAAATTGCAGGGTAGCAAAGGCTGGAGCAACAATTCTTGCAGAAGGAAAAGGGAGGTAGGAAGGAGTCTTTTGTCATGGGAAGGAATGTAAAAGGTTGTGAGGACTAATCTCAAATGGAGAAAAGTGAATCTTTTTCATAACCCAAGGACACATAATTCTCTCTCCTTCACAAACACATTCAAATACACTAAATTTCATTCCAAGTTGGTATGTCCTATAGAACATGCCTATGATGGGATTGTTAAGGTCAGTATCAGAAAATCACAAAGACAAACTTGGTGTATTTATACAGTAAAACTGAATTCAAGTTAACATCTGGGATTTGCAAAGGAGATGGAATCAAGCAACATCAACAAACACTTGAAAGTGACTCACTTGTGCAAGGTGGGCATGTGTATTTCTTAATTTACATTTGTCAGATGCAAACCTATAACACTGTTTAGCCAGTTGAACAGCAAAGAAGAGAAATTATAAAATCCATATGGGACCTGATTTAACTTCTACCCTTTGTTTGGATAATTATCAGGTTATCTGGATGTTCAACTCAATTCAACTCAGGATATATTGTTTGTATTTCCCTGTGTGTAGAGTACCATAGAGATGTCAAAAAGTGAAGTCAACAAGCATTCATTAAATGCCTACCATGTGCCAGGCACTGTGCTAAGCACTGGGGATACAAAGAAAGCACCCCCCCCAAAAACCTAAAATAAACAAAAAAAACCCCAGATGCTGCTCTCAAGTATCTCACAGTCCAATGGAGGAGACAACATGCAAACAATTATGTACAAATTTATCATATACATGGGGTGTGTGTGTGTGTGTGTGTGTGTGTGTATGACAAATAGGAGATGAATATCTGGAAAGAAGGAAGGTGTAAGAAGACCGGACTTGTAGAAGGGGTCAAGTTATGAAAGCCTTTAAAAGCTAAAATAGAGGATTTTATATTTGTTCCTGTGGGTAGTAAGGAGTCATTGGAGTTTACTGAATTGGGGTGAGAGAAAGAAAGACATGGTCAGACCTGTAAAAAGATCACTTTGATAGCTGAGAGTAGTATGGACTGGAGTGGGAAGAGAATGGAGAGAGGAAGGCCAACTGGTAGGCTACTGAAGATACAAACAGCATAAGACACAGTCTGTCCTCTAGGAGCAAACAGTCTAGTAAGACATCTAATACTGTGTGCTGGGTGTGTGGGCAGAGAGGTGAGCAGGGGAAATGTTCCCTATTGGAGTGACCTCCAGAAAATCTAAGAGTTGTGTTGAACGTGCTATCATGGTTCAATCATGGATGTAAGCACTTACTGTGTTCCAGGCACTGTGCTACATATTGAATCTGTTGTTACAGAACTTTTCCCAGACTCTCTTGGCTCCCCATAACCATGCATCTCATCAGAGAAGCATTTACAATTAGGTCTCATGGGCAGAAAGGGGAAGGAAAGACAGAGTGGGCCTGGGAAGTCCTGCTCCATCCTTTTGAGAAATCTGGTTGTTTTTCTGCTTATATTGTCAGACTCCCCATCCTCATCTTCTCCGGCTCTAGGATGACAAAGGGCAAAATGGCTATTGGATGAAGAATCATTAGCAGGAAGAAGAATGAATTTAAAGGCAAAAGTTGTCAGGGAGCCTTTCAGATTTTATTAGAGTCAGGCATTTTGTATCTCAGGGAGAGGCAGTATGGTGTAATAGAAAAGTCACTCTACTAAGAGTAAATAGAACTGAGTTCTGGTCCTGCCTGGACCACTCTCTGTGTGGCCTGGGTAAGTTATATCCCCTCACTGGGCCCAAATTTTCTTATCTGCAAATGAAGTGATTGAAGTAAATGATCTCTAAGGCCCCTTCAATTTAATTCAATAAACTTTTATTAATCACCTACTGTGTGCAAGACACTGCTAAGAGCTACAGATATAAATGTATGTCTCAGCACTCCACCTTCTGGGTTTATATGGACTGGGTCGAATCTTAGTGGCTTTCCCCTCAGAACTATTCTCTCTTTAGCTTAAATTGCCCCTACCCGGAGTTTCTTCTGGAAACCTCAAGACTACATAACTTCTGTCTAGGTATTTACACACAGGTTAAAGGGCCCTATACTATACAGTCAGGATAACAAATGCATTTATTGAGGACAGGAAAACTTTTATTTCACCTCACGAATATGCAGACAATGCAAACTCCTTACAATTATGCAGAAAGCCCTCTAAAGCAGTGATGACAAACTCAAAAGAAACAGCAGCCCCTAAACCATAATAAGGATCCCTGAGGGCTGCACATTGAAGTAGAAACCAAAATACGTTTATGTGTTTCTTTTTTTTTAATTAGTGCATTAGCACATTAAAATCAGATAGTAACTACATTTTAATCTGGTTTTGGCTGAACTGGGTGGTGATTCATGGGGCTCACGAAGTCCATAGGACTCCCAATAGTCCATAAACAATTGATACAATTCTCCCGACCATGCGTCCCACTTTTCCACAGAGCCCTAAAATCCTCTGACTCATCACTACCTCAGGGGTTCGGATTTTTCTAATTCAAGTCAATAAACATTTATTGAGCACCTACTATGTGTCAAGAACTGTGCTAAAGATACAAATAAGAAAAAAAGAGAGTTCCTGCTTTCAGAGAGCTTACATCTAACATGGGAAGACTGAACTGAAAGTGAAGCTGAAAGTGGGTGGGGGTGGGGACGGCCATGGGTACCTGGTACAGGGGCGTCCCAAGGAAGTGGAAGCCAAGCATAGGGGAAAACGAAACCTCCTGGATGAGCCCTCTATTGAGGAAGCCTCTAGGAGGTGTTTAACGCTCCGCCCACCAACTCTCCAATGAGGAGGGAGAAGCGACTGAGGGTGAGTAGAGGAAGGTGCTGATTATCGTACCCTGAGTCAATCAGCGGGGTGAGGAGACTTCGGGTGATCCCGCTCATCCTGCAGAAGGGCCTGTGTCCGGTGGCGTCAAGAGTCAAAGCCAAGCAGAGCTGCTGATGGCAAAGAAGTGAACGTGGAAGAGCTAGAAAAGCAGTCCCCCACCAGATTGTCGTCTTCTGGGACATAGGATAATCCCTGTCCTGTTTACCACCCAAGGTGACTGGGAGGATAAACTGAGGTAATGTATCTGTGAAAGCTCTTTGTAAACTGGAAAATACTTACGTTCCTGTAAGTTTATTGTTAGTATTATCATCTCCCGTCAGTCGACAAACATTTATTAAGCGCCTACTACGTTCCAGTCACTGTGCTAAGTTCAGTCTGGAAGTTCAAGGAAAGGCAAAAACAGTTCCTGCCTTCAAGGAGCATACATTTTAATGGGAGAAGACAATAAACAAGTAAATTACTAAGTACATACAATGTCTGGATAGAGAGGAGCTAGAAAGCAATCTGAGAAGTCTGAGGGGGCCAGGAAAGGCTTCCTGCAGGAGGTAGTTTTAGTGGAGTCTTGAAGGGAGCAAGGCAGTTTATCCTGTTCTCATGTTAAACTGTATTTCCTTCTGCTCTACCCAAGCCTGTCTATTGTTCCACCCACTGGTCCTGGTCCTTCACTTTGGCAGGACCTAGGATAAATGTCATCTCCACTCCATGGGGCAGCCCTTCAAATATTTGAAGACAGCTACCATGTCCTTCCCAAATTATCTTTTCTCTAGGCTAAACACCCTTAATATGTCAACCATTACTCATAAAATACAGTTTTCAGCCTTTTCACTGCCCTATTCAGTCATCCTCCTTGTAAACATTTTGCAATTTACCGGTTTTCCCCTTAAAATTTGGTTCATAGAGCTGAACACAATGTGATCTGACCAGCACAAATTACAGTGGGAGTGTAAGCTTGCTTCATCTGGACCGTCTAATTTTATTAATGGATCCTAAAACTACATTAGTTTCTTCAGCTGCTCTGCCACACAATGTTGGCTCATACTGAGCTGGCAGTCCACTAAAGTCTCCAGGTTTTATTTACTGTTAATCCAGGTCTATCCAATCACAAACCTTTAGGAATCATGGGGCTGTGGGAACTTAATTTAGTGGCTAAGCAGGAAGCTATAAATACAGAGGCTGTTAGAGTTTATCTAGAGTTTAATTCCATGAACAAGCTGGGTCATAAGGAGGGGTGCAAATTGGGCAGGCCAAATTCATGAACTGTCAGTAGGTTCTGAGTGACAAGGAATCAATTCCTCTAGTCTCTCCAAATTTGGTTTTGTTTTTAACCAAAGCTTAGTGTGTACCTGTGTCCTAGAACAACAACTGGCTATATACTTCATTCATTTAGTACTTAAGTAGTTTTTTTTTAATATACGGACTTTTTCATTACCCCTATTAACTTTCATCTCAGTGGAGTTGGACCATTACTCAAGATCTCAAAGAATTTTTTGCATCTTGTTTCTATCATCCTGTCATATTAGTGATCTCTTCTGGCTTTGTGTCATCTGCAAATTTGATAAGTAAATAGCCTATGTCTTCACTGACAAAATTATTGAACAGGAGAGGGCAAGGTGCAGAGGGACCTCCCTTTATGGCCAATAATCAGGTTGGTCCTCTGCCACCATTAACAGATTTGTCATTAGTCAATGCTTTGGATAGGGTCTTTCAACTAGCTACATTTCTCCATTTAAGAAAAAGAAAGGAAAGATTAAAAGAGTCTTTATCAAACATATTACTGAAATACAGGCATACAGTGCAGGAATATACTGGTAAATGTTTAACAACCCGCTTTCTGAAAAGGCAGAACACATAAGTTTAATCTGCATTATTCATATTTTCTCCTTTACTTTCTTAAGTCTAGTTTTTGTTGGTTAGTCATTTTTTCAGTTGTGTCTGACTCTTTGTGACCCCTTTTGGGGTTTTCTTGGCAAAGATACTGGAGTGATTTGCCATTTCCTTCTCCATCTCATTTTGTAGATGAGAAAACTGAGGCAAACTGGATTAAGTGATGTGCCCAGGGTCACACAGCTACTAAGTGTCTCAGGTTGGATTTGAAATCAGGAAGAGGAGTCTTCCTGACTCCAGACTAGCCACTCTATCCATTGTGTCACTTAGCTTCCCGTTCTTGAGCCTAAACAATCTAGAAAACAATACATCAAGCCCTCATTTGTAGCATTTGTTGATTTTTCAAGGTGTATTAAATGTTCATGATGAAAATTTAATAATGGGCTCTCAAGACAGTATGAGCTGGCTCCAGCATATCCCTGACACTATGTCTCAGATCCCTGAGATTTGCCAGTTCTGTTACCTTATCACACACAAAAAAGGAAATCAGCTTACTTTCATATGGATTCTTAGTGAATCCATGTTGTCTTCAGTAATAGATAATTACTTTCTTATCTAGTTGCTCACAAACCTTTAAAAATATGTTCTATAATTTTTCTTGGTAACTTATAATTTCTACACTCCTTCTCTTCATACCCCCCTCCTTTTTCCATTTTTAAAAACAGAAAAAAAAACCATTTGCTTATCTTTAGTCTTTTTGGACTTCTCTATTTCTTCATGATTTCTTAAAAACACATCTGCAAATTCTTTC